GGGTTGACGTATATGGTGTACCGTTAGGTATGTGGTTACTCGTTAGGGTGAATAATGTTGATAATGATAGTGACTATATGTGGTCACCTACCTGGTCCCATAATGCGTTCGCATTTGATGCCAAGAACTGTAATTTTCTTGAGCTTTGTTCTGTCTTTGTATTTTTGCAAAGACATAGATCAGATCATGTAGTATTCTAAACTGTTGTAGGTCATCAATATCGTAAGTAATGTAATGAATTTGATTCCTCAGCTTTTTTTATTTTCATATAGTATGCAGAAAACCATTTGGTCTTGAAAAGGGTGGCAACTTGGGGAATATCAAGATAACATCATCTTCTAAAGCAGACAATTCCCATGATGCATCTGATGGACGTCTCTATGGTAATACATCATGGTGCAGTAGGACATCATCAAACTCAGAGTACATACAGATTGACTTTGTGAAGATGGTTACACTGACTGGTATAGCTACACAGGGTTACCACACCATGGATAAATGGGTCAAGACTTACATCATCAAATACAGTATCGATGGAATCCAATGGAATTATCACCGAGAAGGCGGAAATAGTGTCAAGGTAATTGCAGTATATAGTCACTATCTGTTCTAAAATATCCTCCTTTGTTTACGATGGTATCCATGCTTTTCACTGTAGATCTTTCAAGGAAACAGTGACAGAAGTAGTATTGCAGTCCGATGGTTAAGTCATCCACTCACAGTAAGATATATCAAAGTGCATCCCCAGACCTGGAATACTGCAGTATGTATGAGAATTGAAGTCTTTGGATGCAAGTCTCGTAAGTATAATCAGACGTTTTGCAGTATTTACAATATGGCATAGTGTGTGGCATATTCTTGTTATTGCAACTAATTAGTATAAACCGTTTTGCACAGCTTCTGCTCCAGAGATAACCAAATTGACAAATCGAAACCTTACAGCATCAATTGGTAGCTATGTCGAGTTGACGTGCCAGGTAAAGGAACCATTAATCCAGCACATTCAATGGTATTCTAATGGTACTGATGTAACCAGTCTTTCTGGTGGTATAACGCGGGATGTTACCTCTGTCAAGTCTGTGCTACGAGTAAACTATACCAATGCTATTGATGTAACCAGGAAATACCAGTAAGTACCTAATATAGCACCAATATAAAGGCTGATATAGTTTTTAGAGTTTTGAATAATCAATTAGAAAGGTATTATTTAATTTGGTAAATGATGGTGTTGGGAGCCAGAGGACCATCGACAACTTACATCCACACTCCCTTGCTTACTAAGGTGCTTCAATAAAGTAAATATTATGGTATGCCGACGGAACTACGTGTGTAAGTCAAAGTATGGCAAGAACAATAGTGAAGCAGATTCTGTGAAAAGTGCGCAAGTCCAAGTTATTCTTGGTAAGTAATCTTAATATCTTCACTAAAATGTATTGTCTACTGTATATTGGTATATAGGAACTTATGTGATTATGTCTTGATTTGGTGGCGTTTTGATTATTTGATTGATCAAATATTGAAGAATGATGAATATATTTTTTAGACACGTCTCCTGTTCTTCCATCGCCATTTCTCCATGTTTTTTCCAAGTCAGTGATCGTTGGTTGGACGTTTCCCGTCAATTCATATGTTAAAACTGTAATGGTCAAGTACTGGAATCATCAAACAACAAAGACTGTGAATGCATCGTATCCTGCTACCAATCTTACCATAACTGGCTTATCACCTTGTACGTACTATAATGTGACTATGAAGGCTGTTAGYGAACTGGGTAATGGACCATGGACTACAATCAGGAATATCAAAACAGACTCGGAATGTATGTGTATTCTGTTTTGAATACATGATACACAATAAAGTCTCTTAAATAGAATTTAACATTTATTTGCATGTTTTTTTCACATGGTATATAGTACCAAAAGTTGCCCCCAGTGGTGTTAGTGCACGAGCGAAGACGTCTCAAAGCATACTAGTTACATGGAAGGTAAACTTCTTAGAACTATTTCTGTATCGAATAAACACTTATTT